AAAGAAGTCAAAAGAACACAAATACTAGTTTCAAACATACTGAAATGCAGGAGGCACATACAAGGTAATGCTGCTAAGAGGAAGAAGTAAATGTAACGAAACATTAAAGAACAGGAAGCTGAACATTAAAGAACAGGAAGCTGCATCCCTATAAGGCACAAGTTAGTCTTCAGCAACAGCTGTCTGCCCCAAATTTCAGTAGTATCATGTTTGAAAAACCTTGTTCTGGTCTATAATGCTGAGGCTAAGACTCTCCAACCAGTAAGTACAACAGCTTGAATGAATCAAGATAACTGACTGAACAAATCTAATCTGTAAGGTTATATATATACTGCATGATTACATTTATATAACACCTTAAGCCAGGCATGGTGGCGCACACCTTTAGTCTTAGCACTTGGGAGGCAGAGGCAGGCCCCAGTATCTGTGAATTCAAGGCCAGCCTGGTCTACATGGCAAGTTCCAGGTCAGCTAGAGCTACAGGGAGGCCCAGTCTAAAAAAAAAGGTATGTATATATGTAAAACACTCTTGAGATGACAAAATTGTGCAGATGAAAAACAGATTAGTGACTGCTGGGGGTTAAGGAACCAGGACTCAGGAGAGTCTTAAAGTGGGACAGTGAGTATGGAATCACTGTGGTGATGGACCTGCTGTGTCTTAATTACACCAATGTCAATACTCTGGCTGCAATGCTAGTTACAGCTTTAGAAGATATTAGCACTGAGCAGAAGTAAAGTGCACACGGGACCTCTCACATGCTTTGTAACTGTATGTGAATCTACGATTACTGAAAAATAAAGTTTATTTTTTTTAAAGCAGCAAGAACATTTAGTTCCTAAAATATGAGCTTTTAGAAGTCTCATCTTCTCAATAAGGAAATGCTCATGACTTTAGCATTGCCCTACAGATTCTCCAATATAACTAACTGTATGCAAGCACAGGGGCACATTGCACTGGTTCCACTTCCCAGAAAGAGCCTGAGTAACAAACAGAGAGCCTTTCCCAACACCATGGATAGAATCAAGGATTTGATAAGATGAAGCAGAACTATTCAAAAGATTTCTACATTAACTCAGCTTATCAATAGACAGTGAGGGTCATATAGCTTCCTCTTTTAAAATGCAATTTACAATGAGGTTTCCTTATTTTTAATCAACTCTTCAAGTTTCTGAAGCCAAAGAAAATGTTGTAGACATTAATTTTATTTAATTTTTAATTTTTATTTTATATGTATGAGTGTTTTGCCTACATATATATAAGTGCACCTGTGTCATGCAATGCCTGAAATGGCCAGAAGAGGGTTTTGGGTCCAAGGCCAGAAGAGGGTTTTCGGTCCCCTGGAACAGGAGTTACAGATGGTTATTAGCTACCATGTGGGTGCTGGTAAATGAACGTGGCTCCTCTACAGCAGTCAGTGTTCTTAACCATTGATCCATCTCTCCAGCCCCATAAGCATTAATTTTAAATTAATTAAAGCTGTCACCATAAGTCAAAAGTTGGTGATCAAAATTAAAAAGCAAAAAGGTTTTTTTAAAAATCTTCAAATATGGACCGGGCGTGGTGGCACACGCCTGTAGTCCCAGCACTTGGGAAACAGAGGCAGGTGGATGGATCTCTGTGAGTTCAAGGCCAGCCTGGTCTACATGGAGACCCTGTCTCAAAAAGAAAAAAAAAATCTTCAAATATGGCACAAATCAGATAAACAAGCCACATATTAATGAAGTAGAAACACACTTGGAACTACATATAGAAAAGTCTTCAGGGTCAGGGTCAATAATTGATAAAGATAAGTAAAAATAATGTACTATTTTCCAATACAAATTAGAAAAGAACCTTTAAAAAAGTCCATGCATTGCTGAACAACAGGAATAAGTTATGAATGCTTTCTCATGAGCATCAAAGTATAATTAAGATAACAGCACCAGATGATATAACCTTATGCAGCATATGACCATAATCATGATACTCATTGAGGCACAGATAATTAATGGTACACTTATCAATGATGAAATTGCAATGAGGACTGAGCATGGGGCCTTGTGTATAGCAGGCAAGCACTCTACCACTGAGCGCCACCCCAGCCTGGAAGTCTTTCTAAAAGCAGTCTGACAAAGCCACAGGGCCCCTTAAGAACCATCATACTCTTTAGTTAATACTCTCATTTTCGCCAAAAGAATCATAAAGAAATACTACATCAGGTAGAAAAACTTGGGAAAACCTAAAGCAGATTACCGAAAGTATTGCAATAAAGACAAGCTATGTGGATAGAGATTAACTCTGTGACACCTAAGCATTTCTCATGAGTTGATTCAAGTTTTGACTTAAAGAGCTTAAATGGCCAAATACTGAAACATTTCAAACAGAACATTCAAATTTTGGAAAACTACAGCAAACAGCAAGTAGAATGGTTGTAATATAAATGTAGATGAATGGTGGGTAAAGCTAGTGGAAGTTGATTAATTGCAGAAAGAAAAGCTGGGGCACTGTCACTGAGAATAAACTTGTTCTGAACGTGAAGAGAGAAAACAAGCTGGGATTGGTGGTTCACAGAATTCCAGCATTTGGGAAGCTGAGGCAGAATGAATGGCAAGAGTTGCAGCCAACCTGGGCTACCACACATTAAGTTCTAAGCCAGCCTAGGCTACAGAGAGAAACTCCATCTCAGAGGAAGGGGGTGGGGTAGCTTGTTAGCTCATGTCTTTAAGTAACTAAGGAAGAAAGAAAATACTGGCAATAATGTATAAAATAGACTGGAACATAGGAAGAAACTTTAGAATCAAGGAGTCAGTGAGAAAAATGAAGGAGAAACTGTCTTGGCTTGACCTTGGGCAGTGAAATTAGGTGGAAAGGAAGAGCAGAGGCAAACTATCTGCACTGGTCAGTGTTAAGTACACCAACCCTTAAGGGAGAAGAAGCAACAGCACCAATCTTTCAAGTCTTGACAGGGAGAAAGAACAAGGCCCAGGAGCATTGACAGTGGTCAGTTTTGTTTTGGAGATGTTTCCAAGAGAACATAGGATGATGGCCTCAGACTGGAATCCGGGTCTCAAGAGAGAGATTGAAAGCCACATTGAAATTATGGTTCAAATTACATGGAAATTATAGCAGAGGAGGGTTAAAATAATGGAGACAGAAAACAGGCAGACAGCAAGCACTGAAGTTCTGGGAACTCAGAAGGTAAGAGTCTATGCAGGTATGCGTGTGCTGACAAGCAACAGGAGGCGATGCAAGGATTACTGGAAGCCAAGAGTGCCAAGGTGGAGCCACCAGATCAGCCATTTGCACAGCTACAAGTCTTCAAAACACTGGTTTTTCAAACTCGAACCCAGCAGTTCAAACCCTGCATAGACATTCCAAAGAACGGAAAGTAGAGACTCCAGGACCCGTACAGACAGGAAGAGAAAGGACAAACACGGTAGACTCCACTTATAATCAGGTATGCAGAGCAGGTAGTCAGACAGAAGGGGCAGAGGGAGCAGTGGGGCATCACTGCCCTGTGGGACAGCGTCTGCCCGGAGTGATGAAAATGTTTTGGAATTAAATGGTGCTGACAGCAAGATGTTACGAATGTCTTCAATGCTACTGAATTACACTCTTAAAATCAGAATAAACTGCACGTTGTGTATACTTTCCAACAAATTTTTTTTTTTTTATTGTGAAGAAAGATGGGTGGCAAAAAACAGCACAGGAATATTAAAGGTAAATCGCAGGGAAGTTGTCAACATGAAGTGTGGACTGTGTTTCCAAACTTCTCCTTCGCAGAGCTCTACTGGCACACAGTGAGGGTAGAAAACGTTATTTCCTACTTTTCTTAAAGCAGGGCAGATATCAAAATACAGTTATTTGCAGAGCAAAAACAGGAAATTAGTTGTGTTTTTGTTTTTTCCTTCCAAAGCTGGCCTAACCGTTATGTGAGGAAGAAGTAACCCTAGAGCGTCTGGGTGGGTGCACAGAAGTGGTGAGAAGAGACCTTCCGCTGGTGGTGGTGAGCACCTTTAATACCAGACTCGGGAGGCAGAGGCAGAGGAGGTCCGGGCCAGCCTGGTCTACATAGTGAGTTCCTACAGAAAAGGCTGTCTCAATACCAAAATAAGGGGCTGGAGAGATGTCTCAGCGGTTAAAAGCACTGGCTGCTCTAGCAGAGGATCCAGGTTCGATTCCCAGCACCCACATGGTGGCTAACACACCTCCATAACTCCAATTTCTGGGATCTGACGCTGTCTTCTTGACCTCCGCGGGCAGGGCACGACACGGGTGCACTTGGATGAATGTGAGGGTTTGGGGTGCATGGAGCGAGCACACAAGAAATACAATTTTGGGGCCGGGGAAATGGCTCAGCGGTTAAGAGCACCTGCTCTTGCAGAGGACCCGGGTTCGAGTCCCAGCACCTACATGGCGCCTCACTACCGTCCCTAACTCCAGTTCCAAGGATGCAACGCCCGCTTCTGACCCCCGCGGGCACTGCACGACTCACACCCGCACACTGCAACGGACATGGCGGCCCCGGCCTGCTGTGACTCGCTCCAGGTCGTGCCGCACAGCCATCACCAACTACAAGACTGGAGCCTGCACGGCGGTCGGCGCTGCATCGCGCCACGGGGCCTTAGGGGCCACACGTCAGGGCGCCTCAGGTAGCAGCGCCCGGTCGTCGGCGCCTCCCGGGCCCCTCAGCGCCTCAAGGGCCGCAGCGCCTCACCGGCCCCGGCGCCTCACAGGCTGCAGCGCCTCACGGCCCGCAGCGCCTCACCGGCCCCGGCACCTCCCCGGCCGCAGCGCCTCCCGGGCCCCTCAGCGCCTCACTGGCCCCGGCCCCGGCACCTCCCCGGCCGCAGCGCCTCCCGGGCCCCTCAGCGCCTCACTGGCCCCGGCCCCGGCACCTCCCCGGCCGCAGCGCCTCCCGGGCCCCTCAGCGCCTCACTGGCCCCGGCACCTCACGGGCCGCAACGCCTCCGGATCCCAGCGCCTCTGGCCGCTGAGGCGCCGCCGGGAGTCTACTCACCGCGACGCCCGCAGTCCGGGATGGCAGCCTTCCGTCGCAGCCCGGGGCCGAGCCGCACGAGCCGCAGCGCGCGACACGGCCGGGGACAGGCGGCCGCGGCTCTCACAGGCCCCGGGGCTGCAGCGTCGCGCCGCGGCGGAGGTCAAGTCACGCGCGGCCCCGCCCCCTGTGACGTCACAGCCCCGCCTAGGCGCAGGCGTGGAGTTGGGTGCTTGTCTGTCCTGCAGGACCTTGTTAGATGCGGTGTCCACATAGACACGTGCAGGAGGTGGGGAGACCCAGCTGGGGGAACTTAACCGCTCACAATGGCCAGGGTTTGGGTCTTTGGCCCAGTCCTGCTGAATTACATTGAGGAATGTAATTTATCCCTGATAGAAATGCTATTCGGTCAAGAGCTTACATGTTTTTAAATTTTATTTAATGTGCATGAATATTTTGTCTGCATGTATGTACGTGCAGAAGAGGGCTTCGGGTCCCTTGTAACTGGAGTTATGGACGGTTCTTAGCCGTCATGTGGGTGCTGGGAACAACCTGGGTCCTCTGTAAGAACAGCCAGTGCTCTTACCGCAGTCCCTAGAATTTTTTTTTTTTAATTAACTTTCATTGTTTCACCATGTCTACGGGAAATTGTAAATCCCTTATAATTTTATAATTAAGAGCAAAGAAACAGCATCACCTGGACCAAACCAATGACTTGTTCTAGCTGGCCTTAACCACAAGGTTAATCCTTCTGTATAACAGTGATGGCTTGAACGGGAAGTGACACGCCCCCCTCCCAGGTTTATGTGCTGAGCTTAGTCCCCAGCTGGTGCCACTTTCAGGAGTGGGGAACTTTCTAGAAACTTGAAGTGGGGTCTAGCTGAAGAAGGGCCCAGAGGATGTGCCTATGAGGGCTTCACCTGGTCCCTGGTCTATGTTCATTATGATGTTGTTATCCTGATGCTCTGCCCAGTGCCTGGGTCAGGCAACCATGGACTGAACCTCTGCAACTGTAAGCCATTCTCCTTTAAGTGCTTTCAGATATTTTGGTGGCACAAAGGTAGCTAGCACAGGGACCTACTGGTGCTGTCAGGGGCTGGGATGCTGTTGTGCCACCTAGGTCTCTCCACAGGACTGAGGACTCGTTTTCCCAACTGTTGGCAATGCGGGTAGTTAATGACCCCTCCCCTGAGCCCTTCTGTGATGTTGCCCTCAATCAAACAGTTGCTCTCCTATGCCAATACCTTTGGTAGTTTCCCCTCTTGTCCATACAGCAGTTCCACCTTGACTGGAACTAGTGGCTATTTCAGGAATGGTTTTTCTCTTGCGAAGGGCAGTAGTACGGAGGGCACCTGTGCACCCCCACAGTGTATTTGTCACTTTTGGTGTGGGAAAATACCCAACAAAAGCAACGTCAGGGTGAGTTTTGGCTCACAGTGTGCGGGTGCAAGCCTCCATCTCAGACGGTGACGGCGGGGGTGTAAGGCAGCTTGTCACAGTGCATCGGCAGGAAGCAGAGAGAAAGACGCTGGTGCTCATGTTACCTTCTCCTTTCCCTTTAATTTAGTCCTGTCCCTAGTTCATGAGTTGTGGCCATCCACATTTACGGTGGGTTTTCCTTACTCAGACCTCTGAAAACACTCTCAAACACATACCCAAAAGTGGTATGTCTCCTAGGTGATTCCAAATCCAGTCCAAGTTGATGATGGAGACAAAACCATCACACCTAGTATCCCTAAGTGGGTGAAGTGAACATGAAATGTAGGACAGTGATGAATCAGCATTCTGGGTGCTCAACCCTGCTAGAAACCCCTCAGAAATTTCATGGGTAAATGAAGAAACTGGGGTAGGCTACATTTGCATAGGTTGTGTTTGGCAATCCTGTCTCCCTGCTTTCTGCCCCTTTCAGTGTGTTCCTTCCCTCATTTTCTCTATCTGTAGTCTTTGTGGATTACTTCCCTTTCGCCTTAAACTCCCCTTCACCAGGGTGAACCGTGCAGCACTTCTCCAGCCCCCAACGAGTGCTTTAGAAGTTAGGAAATCTGTTCACACAGCAGGGAGGCAGCCAGATACTTCTCTCCCAAGCCTGATCTGCACAATCAAGAATTTATTAAGAGGGGCTGGAGAGATGGTTTGGTGGTTAAGAACACTTGCTGTTCTTCCAGAGGATGGAGGTTGAAGTCTCAGCACCCACATGGCAGCTAACAACTGTCTGTTAACTCTAGGTCCAGGGGATCCGATGCCCTCTTCTGGCCTCTGTGGGACATTGTACCCACATGGGGCACCAACATGCATGGAAAATACTCAAACACATGAAATAAAAGCACTCTGGAGGCAGAGGCAGGCAGATCTCTATGAGTTTGAGGCCAACCTGGTCTACATAGTGAGTTCTAGGCCAGCTGGGGCTACAGGGAGAAAATAGTTCTCTCAGCCGGGCGTGGTGGTGCACACCTGTAATTCCAGCACTCGGGAGGCAGAGTCAGGTGGATCTCTGTGAGTTCGTGGCCACCCTGGTCTAGAAAGTGAGTTCCAGGCCAGCTGGGGCTACAGGGAGACCCTCTCTCAAAAAGACAAAAAAAAAGTGCATAAACTACTTCAAAAATAAAAAAGAGTTGGCTAGAGCATACATTAACGGGGAATAACAAGAAGTTATCTGGAGAGCTGTGAGCAGGAGCCAGAGGACAGATGGCATTGGTATGAAAACGCAAAGCCAGAAGCAGTGACAAGTGTCCCAGGACAGAGGGCTCACAGAACCATGAGGAGCCCTCATGGAGAACTAAACTGAGACGCCTAGGCAAGATGACAGGACATCACACTCTCAGGAACCCAAGAAAACAAGGAGGCAGTCCCAAAATCTACACCAGCTGCAAGAAAGGCACTTGATCCAGGAACAATCAGGCCTCTCGTGAACATCCTTCCTAAAGCACTGCCCGCTCATCTGTGTGGAGTCGAAATCAGGCTGGTGAAGGCTCCAAGAACAGACCAGGTTCCTGTGGGCCACTAGAACCAACGTATCAAATAGCCACGAACAATGCACTTCGCCTGGGTCAGTCATGTGCCAGTCTGAACTGTGAGATGGCTTACATTTCTAATACTCAGAACTTCCAGGGCAGATGAGCAAGGGGAAGAATTGTAATTGTCACGGAGCTGGAGAAAAGCACTCTGAGATGTAGACCACTCTGGCTGTATTTCTTACTGCATTTCACATAATTCCATGGTGTTTCAAATTTGTCCTGTGATGCCAGTATGCTGAGGAGCTAGGGGACCTTTTTACCCTTTGTTATTAATGAAAACAGCTTGGTTTCTTTTCTTGTGTTGTCTTGTTTCTCTTCTTCAGATGCCTCCAACTCCGGAAAGACAGTATCCAAATACCACTGAAATGACTTGCAGCCCAGTCGCTTCCTTAACTCAGTGCGCTCGCTAATGTTTCCATAGGCCATGGATTTATAAAAGGAAGGTTTTTTAAAGAAAAAATTATCCTAAATGAAAACAAAGAGTCATTTCATTAAACCAAACAAATCTTCTGAAATCAGATTATATCAATCATGGAATCATGTTTTCGTCATTGGAACTAAAAATCTTAAAAGATTTTTATCCACCTATGTGGGCAGGCAGATATCTGTGAGTTCAAGGCTAGACTGGCCTACATAGTTCCAGGCCAGCTGGGGCAACAGGGAGACCCTGTCTCACAAAAGACCTCCCCCCACCCCCGCCAAAAAAGGCAGTTTGGATGTTGCCCATGAGGATTTAGTAATGCGTTAGCTCATCCTCTGAAATCCTGTCTCTATGGTTGTATAAATGCACAAAAAGATATTTCAGTGTTGTTAAGAAATAACAAAAGATATTTCAGTGTTGTTAATAAAATGTCTGGAGAGAGGGCTCAGCATCATTGCAAGACACAGGTGCACTTGTATACATGTAGACAATACACTTGTACATAAAAAATAAAAATAGGGGCTTGAGAGATGGCTCAGTAGTTATAAACACTGGTTGTTCTTGCAGAAGACCTGGGTTTGAATCCCAGCACCCACATGGCAGCTAACAACTGTCCATAACTCCAGTTCCAGGGTATCCAACAGCCTCTTCTGTCCTCTGCGGGCATTGCACGATATGGGTGCACTTACCTACAGGCAGGCAATACACACATAACACATAAAATAAAAATAATATTTTTTTGTCTTTTTGAGGCAGGGTCTTCCTGTAGCCCCAGCTGTCCTGGAACTCACTATGTAGAACAGGCTGGCCTTGAACTCACAGAGATCCGCCTGCCTCTGCCTCCCAAGTGCTAGGACTAAAGGCGTGCACCACCATGCCCAGCTAAAATATTTTAAAAATATGGAAAAATAATAAAACAAGATGTTTATCGACAAGGACCTTTTATCAATGGGATTAGTTCCAATAGATCCATTCAAAAAGACTTTTTTTTTTGACACAGGATCTCCCTGTAGCCCCAGCTGGCCTGGAACTCACTATGTAGACCAGGCTGGCCTCAATCTCACAGAGCTCTGCCTGCCTCTACCTACTGTGTGCTGAATGCTGGGATTAAAGGTGTGTGCTACCATGCCCAGCCCCAAAAGGATTCTTTAAAAAGAAACATTTTGACATGTTCCAATTTTGAAAGATAATTTGGAAATGTGTTTTCAAGATACAGTAATAAATGAAAAGATTTCAAGATAAAGCATTGTATGAATATGGTCATGGAAAAAAGCATGGGCCTCCAGGACACATCTGTATTCCCTTGGGAGGCTGGGGCAGCAGGCTCATAAGTTTGAGGCCAACCCAGGCTACAATGTCCTAAAAAAATTTAAAGAAGGAATATTCTCTAGTGTACTCATGTGCTAACAAGCAACAATAACAACTAATTCAATGACTACTTCTGAGTGGAACTGTGGAACTGTGGGCTTAGAAAACATACTATCCATTTTATTATTTTTAAAAATTGTTTATCTATTATTATTATTATTATTATTATTATTATTATTATTTGGTCTTTTTGAGACAGGGTCTCCAGAGCCCCAGCTGGCTTTGAAGTTACTGTGTAGATCAGGCTGGCCTTGAACTCACAGAGATTCACCTGCCTCTGCCTCCCAAGTGCTGGGAGTAAAGGCGTGTGCCACCATGCCTCGCTTATTATTTTTATTTTATGTGTATGAGTGTATTGCCTGCAGGTATGTAAGTTTACCTTGTGTGTGCAATGCCCATAGAGGTCAGAAGAGGGTATCGGCTCTCCTGGTACTGGAGTTACGAACAGTTATTAGCTGCCATGTGGGTGCTGGGAACTGAACTCTGGTCCTCTACAAGAGCAGCTAGTGCTCTTAACCACTGAGCCATCTTTCTAGCCCCTTGTTTAATTATTTTTAATTATGTGTATATGTATGTGAGAGCATATGCCATATGTATCCAAATGTCCACTGAGGCCAGAAAACAGTGTCAGGTCCCCTGGAGCTGGAGTTACAGCCTGCTGTGTGCCAGGCATGGTTTCTGGGAACCAAATGCTGATTCTCTGGAAGAGCAGGAAGGGCTCTAAACTGCTGAGCCGTCTCTGTAGCCCCTCTAATTTACCCCGTTTGTTTGTTGGTTTTGAGACAAGGTCTACTCAGTTGCCTAGGCTGGCTTCAACTCGCAGTCCTCTTGCCTTATCAGGAGTTCCCTGACGGTTCCCTGTTGATAAACACAATCTAGTGTAGTTACTTTCATAACTTAGAAAGTTGAATTGTAGAAACATAAGATGAAGACCAGTGTACACACTATTGGAGACAGGTTCTGTGCATTTCTGCGTGCTTGTCTGAAAGGGGGATAGTCCTTCCCTCTTTATACATTGCATCTGGTAGAGGCAGCCCTTGGAGGACCTGGCACAAATTGAGGGGCATAGCTTGGACATAAACATCTTTGATTATTGGTAGAAAAGGTATTCTCACGTGGTCACAAGGACTGCACCAGCCACATCCCCTGGGAATCTGATAGTGGACTGGTGGGAAAAGAACCTATAAATCTCCATGTGGTATTGCAGCAGGGAGCAGCTATTTTTTTTTAAAGGGGAGTGGTGGCAGAGAGCAATTCCCTAGAAGAAAAACTGATTTAGAGGTTATTTACTTCTGAGAAACTTCAATTTCCCTAGAAATTAAAAAAATAAATTGCAAGGACAATATCTTAGGACTTATAGAAAACAAAAACGAGTACAATTTGGATCTGGAAATGCACAGGATCTGGGGAGCAGGCCAGTGCCTGCTCTCACGCATGCATATGTGTACACACGTGCAGGCTGCTCCCCAGAGGCGCCACTTACCTTGTACTCATCTAGCCAGACGTTGACCAGTCGCAGGTAGTTCCGGGCCATGGCTACCTTGATCGGAAATTTATCTTCAGCTAAGTATGTCTTGCTGATGTGTCCAACTCGAGAGCAAGGCACGATAAAGAGCTGGCCTCCACACATCCAAATCTAGACAAGACCACAATTAGTTATTTTTACTAGTAACTGGCACCTGCTTTAAAACACATGCTTAATGATAGTTAACATATGTTTGTCAAGACAGGGTGTCATGTAGCCCAGGCTGGCCTCACACTCAATATTCGGGGATGACACTGAACTTTGATCCTCCCGACTCTACCTCTCCGGTGCTGGGCTTACAGCTGTGTGCCATCACACTTGATTCATGAGGTGCTGGGGTTAAATCTGAGACTTTGTTCATGATAGACAAGCACTCTATCAACTGAGCTACATTCCCAGGCCAAATCACTAATGTTTATTTGGTTTATTACTTAATCCTTAAGGACTTTTAATGAAGGTATTATATCGCCCCCAGTTTACAGGTAAAAAAATAATTAACATACAGGTTGATTAAGAAGTTTGGCTGGTGACGTGGAACAATTGAGAGCCCAGGATTGAAATTTACAAAGCCTGGCCTGTGAGGGTGCAAGCGATTCTCTTTCTCTCCTACTAAGTATTGCTAGATGTAAGCACATATCAAGAGAAAGTCAAGTCTTGGCTGGATTGTAGTTTATACACAAACATATCTTAATAGTTTTTTTTTTTGCTACATGAAAGCAAGATATGGCTTCAACATACTCTCGAATATAAGAACGCGCACAGAAGAAAACAATATTCATTTATTCATTTCTCATCCTGACACCCCGAGTTAGTCATTGGAACTCAAGTATGTGCTGACACACAAACACACGCAGTAAGATAACTTGCTTTTCTCCTGTTATACAGAACTATTTAAAAAAATAAAAAACTTGGGCTGAAGAGACAGGTTGGTGGGCTAAGCATTCTTGTTGCACAAATGTGAGAACCTAAGCTGGATTCACTAGGTCCCATGTAAAAACTGAGCATGGCTCCACATACTTGTAACCCCAGCATTAGGGAGCCAGGGAGACAGGAGGCTCCCTGGGGCTTACTGGCTTTGAGCCTAGCAGAAAAGTGGTGAGCTCCAAGCTCAGTGAGAGACCCTGCTTCAAAGCAACAAAGGTGGGGAACTCTGCATATACATGCATGCACCTGCATATATGTGTACACATATCTACACACCACGCACATACATTAAAAAAAAGTCTTACATCATTATGTTTCTAATTTTATTATTACAAAAGATACCACAAAGGGGCTACAAGATGGCTCAGCACGTAGAGGTGCCTGCCACCAAGCCTAATGACCTGAGTTCAATCCCCATGACCAACATGGTGGGGGAGAAACTTGACTCCTACAGGTTGTTCTCTGACCTCCACAGCCACGTCATGGCACATGCATGTGCCCACATGTGCACATATGCACAAATCAATTTATTAAATTTTTTGCAGTTATTTCTTCATCTGGGGTGGAGGCTGGGCGTGTGGAGAGAAGAGTTTTGGGAATTGAACTCAGGTCATCAGGTTTGGTGGCAAGCACCTTAACCTACTGAGCTCTCTCACCAGGCCCACAAATTAATTTTTCTGATTAAAAAATACCACAGAGTTTGGGCTGGAGAGATGTCTCAATGGTTAAGAGCACTGAATGCTCTTACAGAGGACCCAGGTTTGATTCCTAGCATTCACATGGCAGCTAACAACCATCTGTAACTCCAGTTCCAGGGGACCCTATACCCTCTCTGACCTCTGTAGGCATTGCATAACATGGGTGCACTCACATACATGCAGGTAATACACCCATACACATAAAATAAAAATATAAACAAAAAATGTAAAATGCCACAAAGAATGTGCCTATGGAGACTGAGTACGTGACTTACACGTCTTGTGGTGTATTTGCCATGGCCCTTCTGTGTGCTTGCATTTCCAAGTACCAGCATTTCCTGGGGACTTGTTAGGAATGCAGACACATGGGCCCACTGACACCTGCTGATCCAGAAACTGTAGGCTGAGCCTAGCCTTTTGCATTTTAACAGGCTCTTTGATTCTGATGCACACTGAAGTTTGCCGATTGATCCCCTGTTCTAATTCAAGACCATAAATCCTGGTTTTGCAGATATTTTTCAGAGGAAATCCACTTAATTATTAGGGAACAGAAATGGGAAATTAAGACCTTCACTAAAAACACATGGTGTGGAATACGACTTGGTTCATAGCATTCTCGTCCAAGATGCGCACAGCCTTGGGCATTAAAGAAACTGGGCTTGGTGGTTCACACCTGGAATCTCAGCACTGGGAAGGCAGAAGTAGGAGGATCAGAAGTTCAAGGTCATCTTTGGCGAAATATGGAATTCAAGGCCAGCCTGGGTTACATGAAACCCTGTCTTTTTTAAGGATATTTTGATTTGTTATTTCATTTTATGTGCATGAGTGTATTGCCTGCATGTATGTGAATGCACCTGTGTCGTGAAATGCCGCAAAGGTCAGAAGAGGGCTTCGGATTCCCTTGGAACTGGGGTTAAGGACGGTTTGTAACCACCATGTGGGTGCTGGGAATTGAACCTGGGTCTTCTGCAAGAGCAGCCAGTGCTCTTAACCACGGAGCTGTCTCTCCAGCCCCCATGAAACCCTGCCTTAAAGACAGAAAGAGAGAGAATGGAAGGGGAAACAAAGACAGGGAGACTATGCTAGAGACTGATACAAACTACTTCTAGAGTTCCTTAAAAGTAACTTAGAAATTCACTCACAAAATGTCTAGAGAAAGCTTCCGATTCCCTGGTTAGAACAGATAGCACAGAAGACAATGCCTTGGGCCAGAAACGCAAACAATTAGGCTCCGTCATGGTCTGTACAACAGTATGGTGACCTCATTTTCATTGAGAATTGGGAGCCGAACTGTGGAGTTAGGCTTCTGTTCTGGGTACTTAGTTATGCAGCAAAATCTGACAGATGAGAGCTATCTATAATGTTTCATTCTGTCTTTTATTTTTTATTTTTGGTCTTTTTGAGACAGGGTCTCCCTGTAGCCCCAGCTGGCCTGGAACTCGCTATGTAGACCAGGCTGGCCTTGAACTCACAGCGATCTGCCTGCCTCTGCCTCCTTAGTTCTGGGGTTAAAGGCGTGCGCCACCACACCCAGCCAACTTCCTATATTTTTGAGAAGTTCATTGATTTCAAGAGAATCTGGCTATAAGTATAGAAGTGTAAACAAAAGTCAGTAAAAGTAGAGAATAAAAAATTTTAGGGGGGCTGGAGAGATGGCTAAGAGAACATACCTGCAGGCATTACACTCATACACTAATATAAAATTGTACCACATGCATGCAATGCCTATGGAGGCCAGAAGAGGGCGTTGGATCCCCTGGAAGTGGAGTTAGCTGCCATATGGGTGCTGGGAACATTACCTGGGTCCTCTGTAGGAACAGCCAGTTCTCTTAACCAGGACTAGCTGGGCTCCAGGGGAACAGGGAGGTAGAAGCATCTATAAGAAGTCAAGTCCAGCCAAGACCAGAACCACTTTAGCAACACCACCACCAAAAAAACTGAGAGAAAGCTGGGCGGTGGTGCACGCCTTTAATCCCAGCACTTGGGAGGCAGAGGCAGGCAGATCTCTGTGAGTTCCAGACCGGTCTGGTCTACATAGTGAGTTCCAGGACAGCTGGAGCTATAAGGATACCCTGTCTCAAAAAAGACATACACACACACACATACACACACACACACACACACAAAAAAAAAACAACAACAACAACAAAAAAACAAACAAACAAACAAAAAAACAAAACCCTGAGAGAAAAAATAGTTCTTTCTGGTTTTAAGATGCTACATTTTGGGGCTAGAGAAATAGCTTAGCAGTTAGGGACACTGCTGCTCTTGCGGAGGACCTAGGTTTGGTTCCCAGCACCCACATAGCAGCTCTACATAACCATCTGCAATTCCAGTTCCAGGGGAATCTCACACCCTCTTCTGGCCTCTGAAAGCACTGCATGCATGTGGTGCATTTAACGTATATGCAGATAAAAAGAAAAGAGTGGGGCTTGAAAGAGGGTTCAATGGTTTAAGAGCACTCACTGCTCTTCCAGAGGATCCATTCAATTCCCAGGACCCACAAGAAGGCTAACACCTGTCCTTAACTCCAGTTACAAGGGATCTGACGCCCTCTTCTGGCCTCTAAGGGCTCTGCACAACATGGATGCACTTACATACATGCAGGCAAAATGCTCATACACAAAAAATAAATAATTTTTAAATTTTATTTTTTGGTCTTTTTGAGACAGGGTCTTTCTGTAGCCCCAGCTGTCCTGGAACTATGTAGACCAGGCTGGCCTTGAACTCACAGAGAGCCTGCCTCTGCCTCCTGATTGCTGGGACTAAAGGTGTGCGCCACCATGCCCGGCACATAAATAATTGTTTTAAATTTGAAATGAGCTGGGCACGGTAGCCTTTAATCCTAGCACTGTGGTGGTTAATATTGATTGTGAACTTGACAGGATCTAGAATTACCCAGGAGACATGTCTATGGCATGTCTATGAAGGAGTGTCTCTATTAAGTTGAGTTGAGAAAACCCTCCTTAACTACAGGCAAAACCATTCCGTGGACTGGGTTCTTAGACTGCATAAGAAAGAGAGAGCAGGTTGAGCAACAGCGTTCATCTCTCTCTGCTTCCTGACTGTGGATGTCATGTGACCAGCTCTTGGTACCACGCCTCCCCACCATGAAGGACTGTCTTCAAACTGTGAGCCGAAATGAACCCTTCCTTCCTGAAGTCGCTTTGTCAGGCATTTTTTCATAGCACTTAGAAAAGTAATACAGTCCTCAATAAATGATGCTGCATGCAAGAATGAATGAGTGAGGGTGGTCTTATCTTCTGATAGCAAGAGAGAAGCATGGACCCTGGCTGGTCAGTCCGTGTCCTAGGATACCAGGTGCTGGCCCTTTAGGTTCTTGACTGTGGGAGGGGCAGAAAGCCTGGACCTTGTTGGCTGGGCTGCAGATGGGGAGTACTTGGTCAGCTCAAGGAATACTGCTCTGTGTCAGCCACCAGGGTGACTCCCCCTGCGCAAAGTGGCAGAGCGCACACCCATGTCATGGGGTGGGGGTCATCCCAGGATATTGGTTTACTAAACGAAAATGAATGAGAAATGAAGGGGGGGGTGTATATGTGTGTGTTTGTATGTGTGTGTGTGTACATGTGTGTATCTGTATATGTGTGTTGTGTGTATGTGTGTGCATATGTGTGTATCTGTATATGTATAGGTGTGTTGTGTATGTGTGCATATGTGTGTACGTGTATGTGTGCATTCATGTGTGTATATGTGTATGTGTGTATGCGTGTGTGTGCATATGTGTGTTTGTGGGTGTTATGTGTATATGTGTGTATGTATGTGTGTGTTCATATGTATGTGTGTATATGTGTCTGTATGTGTATGTGTGCGTACGTGTCTGTATGTGTATGTATGCATGTGTGTGTATGTGTGTATGTATGTGTGTATGTGTCTATCTGTATGTGTGTGTGTTCGTGTGTACATGTGTGTATGTATGTGTATACGTGTGTGTGTGTGAAGGTGTACGGATGACTTTTTCCTCAGGGACTAGTGTCAAGAGAGTGCTTTAACTAGTTAGTAATTTGCATACTTGCTTATTAAAGAGAGACCCAAGCATGCTTCAGAGATTCAAGGGGACCATTAGTATTGGAGTGGTTTGGAAACACTGGATAATTGATGCATCTGCATAGTGTTTAGCTCTCATTTGTGGTCTGTGAGAGCTGTAGAGCTGCAGATGGGGTACGCTTGCTTTTTGGCGTGTTTTAAATTTTATTTATTTAGAGAGTGCACATGTGGAGGTCAGAGGACTGCTTGTGGGGGTTGGTTCTCTCCTTCCACCATGTGGGTCCCTGGGATTAAACTCAGATCCTCAGGTGTAACAGCACATGCCTTTACCCACTGAGCCATCTCCCCAGACACATACTTGCTTTTCAAATACACATTTGTGAATCACTTCACATTTGTTAATTACTTCACAAAGTGATTCTATTCTGAGACACAGGGTATGTTTACTGTTAGGTCCTGAGAGGGAAAATTCTTTGTGCAATATTCTCAGTGATGTAATAAAATAGGAATTATCAACCATATATAATGAAAAGTGCCAGAGGCCCAGGTATACAGCACTGCCTGTTCAGAAAGGAAGGCGCGGGTGGAGGAATAAAAGTAATGAAAGCAGCAGACGGCTGAGACACGCAAGAGGGGCCTTGGAGAAAAGACATTGCTTAAGAGATTTCAACCATTGTCATATATGTTAAAGCTTATTGAGCCGTGTTTGTGTCCCCAAATGTCTCTTGGTGTGAGTCTATGCACTGGAGCCTAATCAACCTATTTAGTGTCACTTCCATAAAGAAAACCAACTCTCCCTCTCCCACTAGTCATTGGTTGCCAATAGCCTCAACTAAGACTGGGGCATCTTACCCATTTCCCCACCTCTATGATTTTTTTTTTTTTTCTGGTTTGAGCTTGCATGGGTGTGCCAGATAGCTTTAGTGTCACCTTGACACACCTGGGTTGAGGGAGCCTCAATCGGGGAATTTCCTCTATTGGACTGGCCTGTGGCCATGTCTGAGGGGCATCTTCTTGATGAGTGATATGGGAGGGCCCAGCCCACTGTGGGTGGTGCCACCCCTGGGCAGGTGGGCCTGTGTTGCATAAGAAAGCAGGCTGAGCAGGGGCCAGGGGAGCAAGCCAGTAAGCAGCGTTCCTCCATGGCCTGTGCTCCAGCTCCTGCCTCCAGGTTCTGGCCCTGAGTTCCTACCTTGGGCTCCCTGATGAACTGTGACCCGGGAGATGTAAGATAAATAAACCCTTTACTCCCCAAGTTGGTAGTGGTCAGAGTGTTTTGTCACAGCAATGAAGAAACAAACTAGGAAAATGGGTCTTGTGCATGCTTGTCTCCTTTACTGTGTGATGAATAGGGGGTTTTGGATAGGGGAGGTTGTCTATATATGATCAAGATGTATTGTGTGAAATCTGCAAAATTTCAATGAAGAAAAATTCTAAGAAAAAGAAAAGTATCTCTGTGTGCATAGCAAGGCATCTGAAGCATTGTGAAAAAAGCCCGTGCTGAAAAGAACTTTAAAGATGAATAAAATGGGACTGGCAAGATAGCTCAGTGGGTGAAGTGCTTGCCATGCAAGCATAAGGACTTGAGTTTGATCCCCAGAATTCACATGAAGATGAAGATGAAGACAGAGAGGAAGACAGAGAGACAGGGATGAAGGAGGAAGGAGGGGGGAGGGAGGAG